ATCTCGCCATGATCGGTTCTCCTTTGGGTCGCCATGAGTCGGAAACGACTCGAAGGCACACAACACACACAGAGGCAAATGCTGCAGCCCATTTCTGCCCAAAGGCAGGCGTATGGGGAGCAAGGGGTTGGACTTTGAGGTCTCTTCCAACTCTAGGATTCAAGGATTCAGTGGTGTCAGTCCCATTTGGGTGTCACCTGGTGTGGTCCGAACCCCTTGCACCCCCCTATTGACACCCCTGGGTCTGTATAGGGATATACAGCTCCTTCTGGAAAAGCCCTGAAGGATTCAAGCCAGCCTTTTCTTTTCCTAGTGTAGGCCATCCAAGCATGGCTAACAGATTTGGCAGGCCAGGGTCGGGGGCTAAATCCTAGATGTCCCCCCCTTTCCTGCTGCTTCATTTCCATCTTTAATCCTGCTTTCCCCAAAGTCGAGAGAGAGAGAGAGAGAGAGAGAGAGAGAGAGATTCAGATGTAGGTCACTCATTCTTTTTCCTAGCCTCCCTCCCTCCTTTCCACAGCCTTCAGAAATAGAGGTTTTCCACTGCCTCCTGCTGAAAATGGGGGTAATTCTCTCTGGCCCCAGACCCCCAACCTTCAAGGATAAGGACATTTTGGGAGGGAACAATCTGTCTAGCCTCCCCCCACAACCTCCAACCCCCCCTTTCCCTTCTTTCTTTCTTTCCAGTCTGCATGTCAGAACTGATCTTTTTCAATCTCTTTCCTTGAGCTCGGATGAGGTCGGATTAAAAGCAGGAGCGGAGGCCCGGGAGGAGGGGAAATGAAAATTAAAATAGATGCCTTGCCATTTAAACTGGGATGGTGGTGTGTCTCTGTGGGGGAAAGAGCCAAAGTGGATTTTATTACAAAGTCTGGTATGTATGGGTTTATTTCCCTCGCTTTCCGCCAGCTTGATGGAAAAAAGCAAGAGGTGTATGTATAGAGAGAGGAGGAGGGAAATATTGATCTAAATTTAAAATTTCAGTACGAGCAGAAAACTTCACAGACCTGGAACACCTCCTAAGGAAGATCCAAGAAGAAAGTGCAAAGGCAGACCTGATGTTGAACATAAAGAAAACAAAAATATTGGCCACCAAGGAGGATCTTCACAAGTTCAACCTAGACAATGAAGACATAGAAGTAGTCAAAGAATTCCCATCCCTGGGATCAAACAAAAGGGGAAGGCAGTCAGGAAATCAGAAGAAGACTAAGAATGGGGAGGATGGCTCTGAAAGAACTAGAAAAGATCCTAAAATGCAAAGATATACAACTCAGTGCAAAAGTCAGAATCATATAAGCCACTGTATTCCCTATGCCATGGATGGATGTGAGAGCTGGACAGTTAAGAAAGAGGATAGGAAGAAAAATCAATACATTTGAGAGAATGTGGAGAATGCTGGAGAAGAGTGCTGAGGATCTCATGGACAGCCAAAAGGACCAACAAAGGGGTCCTAGAGCAGATCAAGCTGGAAACCTCCCTGGAAGAAGCCAAGATGACCAAACTGAGGCTATCATACTTCATACACATCATGAGAAGGAAGGACTCTTTGGAAAAGACAATAATGCTGGGGAAGGTGGAGGGAAGGAGGAAGAGAGGAAGGCCAGATGCCAGATGGAGGGATTCTATGAAGGAGGTCACTTTGGGTCTTAAAGGTTTGCAGGATTTAAGCAGAGAGCAATGGAGGACAGAGGGTCTTCTTGGAGAAGTCTCATCCAGAGAGGTCTCATCCAGATTGACTCAAGGACAGTTAACGACGGCAAAATCCATCGACAATCATATTTTGCAAAGATGTCTGTGAATTCTCTCCCATTTGGTTAAATGGGATTAAATGGAGGTGGGGACGCAAAGTGTGGGCATTGCCCTTCCAAATAACAATTCTGGCTTCAAATAAACTTTTCCTTTGGTCCCCAAATTTTTCTAGCATTGCAGAGAGGAGAAAAGAAGCGAAGTTATGCCTGGTCAAGTTAGAATAGCAATGTAACATAGGGCCTTTACAGACTGCCAGAAATAATGCAGCTTGAGTCCACTTTAACTGCCCTGGCTCAGTGCTAGGGAATCATGGGAACTATAGTTTTTTTTTTCTGAGACATTGAGCCTTCTATGTCAGAGAGCTCTGGTGCCACAATAAACTACAGTTCCCATGGTTCCCTAGCATTGGGCCAGGGCAGTTAAAGTGGACTCAAGCTGCATTATTTCTGGCAGTCTGTAAAGGCCCTTAGTGATGCTTTGGCCAGGAGAGGTTTCCATGCCATTGGAGTAGGAAAGCTCCTTAGGGTTTTAGTCCAAACTGTCAAAGAACTGATCCCCAGATGCTCTGCTTCAGAGATAACAGGCAAAGGGGTTGATGTTACCTTCCGTTAAGTTACTATAGCAATGTAACTTAACAAAGCCATGACTGTGGCAGCTTGCACTTCTTTAGGAATCTCCAGTGCAATTGTATGGGCAACATCTGCCAGAAATTGATTATAGAATCATGCTGGAGGGCCTTCAAAAGCCTAAAGAAGTGTCTTCTCTGGGAACTTCTAGGTTTTCCAGCACAACTCTATGGTCAACATCTGGTAGAGTTGCACTGGAGGAACCCTAGAGCTTCCTAGAGAGAACGAATTAACCAAACCTGCAACGAATCAAATGCACAAACGTCAAAGCCGCAAATGTGGAGGGCCAACTGTAATTGTTGTTGCTCCCTTTCTTGAACCATGGGGAAAATAATAATAATAATAATAATAATAAGTAGTAGTAGTAGTAGTAGTTTGGGGCAAACCCCAGAATGGATTCAGCACTGATTGACCTGGAAGTCACCATCATTGGCTTAGGCCAGAGGTAGGCAACCTAAGGCCCGGGGGCCGAATGTGGCCCCCCAAGGCCTTTGGACCAGCCCCAGGCCAGTCCTGCCACCGCCGCCCCCCGCTGCCCGCCATGATGATATTGATTAATGTTGTTATTACTTGTTCTTGAGGTTTTCTTGGCAAAATCTCCACAGGGGTTTTGCCATGGCTTTTCTGGGGCTGAGAGAGTGTGCATGCATTTTTTTATTTTTAAAAATTTTTTAAAAAATCGTTATTTATTATTTATTATTTATTTATTTATTTATTTGGTGCTTCGGCCCCCCAATTGTCTGAGGGACAGCAACCCAGCCCCCGGCTCAAAAAGGTTGCCTACCCCTGGCTTAGGCAATTGCAAAAAGGGATGGCTTGGAAGAAATCCACAATTTGCAATGCATCATGTTGCATCTTGGCCGCTGTTCCAATAATCTGCCGGTTTGGGGAGATTGTCACTGGTGCCCAGCATGATGGCTGAGTTGGGTCATGAAAGCTGAGCCCCACAGTCTGACCCAGGGCCATGGAGCGGAGCTGAGGGTCCCAATTTGCAGCAAGAAATGTGCCCCAAGGGAAAAATAATTTCCCCTCCACCACCTGCGAGATGCCACAGCGGCTTCCATTGGACCCCCTGAGAAACACACTCAACAGAAATCCCTTCTCCATGGTTGGATTTTGCAAAAACCAGTCTCCTTTTGCAGAGCAAATCCATAACTGTGGGCACATTGCCCTCTACTGATAGCATTCTTCAAAGGCTCATTTTTCTGCCATACACAGATATTTCCTTTTGGAAATTTGTCGTCACATTCACTTCGACTTATGAATGAGAGAATGAGAGACCTCCAAGTCACCCTGTCCTCAACTTCCCTGCTCAGGTCTTGCAAAGTCAGAGCCATGGTTTCCTTGGAGTCTATCCATCTGGAATATGGTCTTCTTCTTTTTCTACTACCTTCTATCTTACCAAGCATTATTGCCGTTATAGTCATGTCTTATCATGGTATGCACAAATTATGGTAGTCTTAGTTATCTGTTCTTCTAGGGAGTATTCAGCCTTTATTTGCTCTAGGACCCATTTATTTATCATTTTAGCAGTCCACAGCACTCACTGAACTCTTCTTCTCCAGCGCGGCATCTCAAATGAGTTGATCTTCTTCTTATCCACTTTCTTCCCTGTCCAACATTCACAACCATACATATAAATGGGAAATATGTTGGCATGGACCGTCCCAACTTTAGTATTCAATGATATACAATCTTGACACTTGAGGATCTTGTCTAGTTCTTTCAATAGCTGCCCTTCCCATTCCTAGCCTTCTTCTGATTAAGAAAAATCTTAAACTATTTCAGTCGCCTAAAGTCATGTAAATAATTGGCGGTCATTAATTTTGTTCCAAGTGCCTTTGCATTTTCTGCCTTGACTTTCTTCAGTAATCATTCCAAGTCTTGGCTATTTTCTTTTAGTTCTTGATCCATGGGGAGAGGTGGGTAAGAAATAAGTAGTAGTAATAGTAGTAGTAGTAGTAGTAGTAGGGTGTCATCTGCATATCTTAAATTGTTGAGGTTCTTTCCTCCAATATTTCCTCCCTCCAAGTCTTGTCCTGTTTTACGTATGATATTTTCTGCAAACAAGTTAAGCAGATAGGATGATGAAATTAAGCCCTATCTGACCCCTTTCCAACTGGAAACCTGACAGGGGCATGGGCAAAATGAAACCATTGCCTCCCAATAAGAATTCTGCCCTCCAATGAATTGTTTCTCCAGTCCACAAATTTCTAGCCTTGCAGTTGGCGATGGAAAGCCGTTCATTCCAAGTTGAAAAATGGATGACCAACGCAAAAGGGATTGCCTGTGCAGAAAATACAGTTTCCTGAGCAAGAACCCTATTTGCACGGGAGCTGGTTGGCACAAAAATGCAATGCGTACTTGCCAAAACTTCACCAGAACTCACCCGCCCAAGATATCCCACCTACAATTTACAACCTACTGTCAATCGCAACCCAGAACTAGCGATAGAACCAGCTCACTTTCTGAACACCTCCATTTATCGTGTGCCTTCAAGTCGTGTCTAACTTATAGTGAAACTAAGGTGAAAATATGGGGTGTTCTTGGCACGCTTCTTCAGAAGGGGGTTGCCATGAGGCAGAGAGAGTGTGACTTGGCCATAGTCACCCAGTGGGTTTACATGGCCAAGCAGGGATTCGAACCCTGGTCTCCAGAGATAGTCCAATGTCCAAACCACCACACTATGCTGGCTCCCTCCATCTCCGCATAGCTACACAATGGGCATCTAAGCACCACAGTGTACCGCAAGCACACTGACTACTACTACCATAGTTACATGCCTCCAGTTTCCACCTTGAACACTACCAGATCCATACTTTACAGCCAAGCCCTCCAATACAATTGCATCTGCTCAGACCCAAAAGGGGAGGATGCCAAACATGGAATTACTGTACAAGCATTCCTCAAACTACAGTAGCCACCATATGAAGGAAAGAAACAAATGGGAAGCTTGTGCAAACTGCTGTTATGTGGTCTCTAAAATGCACATCCGGCACCACTCTGGCTGCTGCGTTTTGTGCTAGCTGCAGCTTCTAAACACTTTTCAAGGGTAGCCCCACATAGCGTGCATGGCAGTAGTCTATGCAGGAGATTGACCCAACCAATATTCTGTTGACCCTTCAAGTTGCAAAGAGGTTTTAATATGCACAAGGGTTCTGACAATCCATTATTTAGTACAGGGAATAGTGTGTCCAGGTCTGGGCACCACCATTCAAGAAGGACATGGAGAAGCTGGAGCAGGTCCAAAGGAGAGCGATCAAAATGGTGAAAAGTTTGGAAACTATAAAGTCCTAGGAGGAGCAACTTAGGGAGCTGGGTATGTTCAGCCTGGAGAACAGAAGGTTAAAGGGTGACCTGATTGCCCTGTTTAAATATTTGATATCATATTGAGGACTGAGCACACTTGTTTTCTGCTGCTCCAGAGTCTAGGACATGGAGCAATGGATGCAAACTATGGGAAAAGAGATTCCATCTAAACATTAGGGGGAAAGTCCTGATGGTGAGAGCTGTTCGAAAGTGGAAGACGCTTTCTTGGAAAGCGGTGGAGTCTCCTTCTTTGGAGGTCTTCAAACAGAGCCTGGATGGATTGGGAGTGCTTTGACTGTGTCTTCCTGCATGACAGAAGAGGGTTGGGTTGGATGGTCCTTGGGGTCCCCTCCGGCTCTGGGATTCCATGAACTTCACTTTGTCCATGGGCCACATTCTGTGAGCTGCACCATGCTTGGAAAGGCTTTTTCTTTTTTGCAAATCAAAATCAGAAGTGGACAGAAGTCCTGTTTTTTCCTTTGAACTTGGAAGGTGGGAAGGAATTGGCTTGTGTTTGAAATGAAATGCACACACATTTTTCTTTGCTTTAATTTTTTTTTTTTTTTTTTTTGCATATTGTATTCATTTAATTGTGTAATCCCACCTCGATCCGTAGGGAGAGGCGGGAAGTATAAATAAAAATTATTATTATTATTATTATTATTATTATTATTATTAAATAAAATGTCTCTGGAGGGGTGCATTAGGAAGATTCTGCAAGATGCAAAAATCAAAAACAAAAACTGGGGGCCATTTGTGGCCTCTGGGTCATCTGCTATGGCCACCTCAATGCCAAAACAGATGACCCAGAGGAAAGGCATGAAAGAAGCACCAAGGCATCAGAGCCATTGTTGTTCTCCTTGGGTTCCTTTTCAAGGGAAACAAAACTGCCATGTTGGCGACAGCGCTCTGGATCTCTGCCTCCACTCCAGGAATATGTTAATATTTTTCTCCCCCTGGAGCCTGCTGTACAAGTCTGTCTGTACATGTTCTTCAGCCTTCTTTGCTGCCAAGAACCTGGAATGCACGGCGGTGGCCAAGGCCCTTTCCAAAACACCATCTTTTTCTCTGAGCTCTTTTGCCTTCTTCCTCTTTTGAAATTATCAGGCACCAAAAACATAATGGCAAGGTTGCCAATTTTGGATCTCCAGCTGAATACATCCAAACCTTTG